TGATCTGCAAAAATGTTTGTTTGGTGTTTTCTTCTGGGTCTGGATGTGTGCGCATAGCGCATTTGTTGTCGTTTTTATGTGAACACTGCCATATCATCATTAAAATCAACATCATAAGGGCACACATATGTGTCATGTAATTAAAATACTTTAATGCCACATAGCATAAAGACTCTGGTCTCTTTTTTTCGTTGGCGCTGCTTCCATCTCATTCTCGATTAACTAGGTCCTTTCTACTTGCTCTTTCTTTCTTGTACCTCTGTTTCTCATTGTGTATTTGCAATATTTGCCGGGTATTTCTCTCTCTCTCTCTCCCTCTCTTTCTCTGTCTCCGACACTGTGTTTGTGTGCATTTTTGTTTTCACACATTTTAGCTGCGCTTTCGTGCGATTCAATTTCGACTACTTCTGCCACAGCTACTGTCTCACTCTCTACTTTGTTATAATTTGCGCGCAAAATTAAAACAGATAATGAAGTAACAGCATACTAAGAAAGAAGCTTCCCCACGAAAAAAGAGCAACGAGAGAAGAAAAAAAAACACCAACATGGAAAAAATTCCAAAATAAATAAGCGAAAATGAAAAAAACAACGAAGACCAAAAAAGCGCATGCATTTATCATTTTTACACCAGCCAGTACACTTTGCAAGATGATCCAACGACGGAAAAAAAGATGTACTCTTTGTTATTTTGTTCTTTTTCAATGATATTCGTAGCCTAGTTAAGTGTTCGCTGCACAATGCTCAATGCTCATACTTATAATTATTGCCTTTTTCTCGCTTGCTTGATGTCTATCCAAATGTGAAGGTGTTAGAGCAAACACACATGGCAAGCATTTCGGTATCAGATTTTTAGCACAAGACTATCATTTTCAATCGTCAATATATGGCCGGCACTGTTCATTCTGATCGAAAGATCATGCTGATCAAATTGCAATTGTAATTAAACAAAAAGAAGCGGCCATAATTTGAGGGACACAAAGAATGAATGACAAAAGGGAGACGACGAGAGAAAAAAAACGCTGTGATGATGGGTACAATTAAAACATTTTCGTCCTAATTAATTCGCACTAAAAATGAATAATTTCGCCAGAGTGCATAATTTAACTGCTCATGCACGAATATTTCAAATTCTTGACATTAACGTTCGCATACAATAACCACCTTTTGCTTTTCTTAATGCAACATTTTATCATTATGACTGGCCAAAAAAAAATTCGGCATCCAATTCAATCAAATATATATTCGAACATTTTTTATGAAAAGGGGGCGAGCATATTCATGCATTCTTATTAATTATGATGAGATTCGATAATCAAATGCAAGTTGGCTTTGCTGAACAGCAATCGCAGCGCAAACATGAAAAAAACGTGAAAGAGTGTGAAAATATGATTTATTTAATTATAAATATGGTTAATGAATTATAATTTGTTGCGCGTTGATTGGCTACGAATTGTAAATTGTAGAAGCGTCGCACATTCATCATTACGCTATGCCACTGCTGTTTGTCGACAATTTAAAATGAGAATGCAAGAGAAACCGGGGAAAAAAAGTACACAGAAAAGCGAATGCGAACAGAAATAAAATAATTCATTTCTCACACAAGCGATTGGCTTGAACGGCATCGATTAGTGCATATTTGTAGGCAAAATAGCAGTATACCGGTTCCGATTTTATCGATTACAACAAACATGTGAACAAATGCAAGTCGCCGGTAAATTGAGCGAAACGTGTGAATATGTTGAACACATCGTTTATAACTCTTATGAGTGATCTGCGAGCATGTAGTTGTGACGAAACGAACGAAAAAAAAAATACAAAAGAAGAAACAATTCACTTGGTGATTTGATGCAAATGAAACCAAAAGTTTTGGTGAACGTTTAGTTGTTGGTGTGCGGCTAATGCACGAACCCAAATAATGGCAGCATACTTGTTTCTTTGGCATTTTTGGTTTTTGTTTTCCTTCTGTATACAATGTATTGCCGTAGCTCTATCATCTCAAAATGATTGGAACTAACTTACACAAAGCATTTCCTATCTGTGAGCAAATTGCTTTTTCATTGCACATCGAATGCAACGCTCCGCTTTTGTACTCGCTGATGTGTGATTTCTTTTTTGCTTGGTAGGCGGTTTATTATTTGCGGTCACTTGCATCGTTAAAATAATTTATTATCCGTGTGAAACATATAAGCAAGGCTGCATTTGTGTTACTCATATTGGTGTTGCTATTCTTATTGGCGCGCCAAAAGATAACGCCAAAGAAATGTCGAATTCTATTTGCAAAAGTGCATACATTGCTGCGCCGCACATTCATACTCACCAATGCGCACAAATTACGGGGTGCCAAAGAGAGAGAGAGTGTGTGTTGAAGACGCGCAAAAATGGCGAATGGTAAGAAGCAGAAAAAAAAAAAACGAAATAGTGAATCGATTTGAATTTTTTTTGTCCGTCATTTCTATCCAATTTAGAATACACATTTTCCGTCCCTCGAGAAACGAAAAATGGCAAGAATAAAAATATATACATTTATAAATAACGCTCATTCGATTATTTCATGGTTGTTAAACGCTAATTTCTCTGTTATTTTGTAAAAGTGCTCTACCTAATCGCTTGGCATACGAACAATAACAAGCCAGACTTGTGAAAACAGTCGATAAAGGAACATCGTTGATGATGTAATTTTGTTATTTTAGCAATGATCACCATTGAGAGAAAATGAAATCAATGTTTAGCGATGAGGTGTGATTGTTTTATTTCGATAATAAACATAGCTCTCAGCATACTCAGCTCATACACTGACTTCATAAGGTTCATTTGTCCAACATTCTATTAAATCACTCTCGCAATCATGAAACATATCATCGTAAACCGGTGATTTTCATGCAAACATTTTTTTTTTGACGAATCAAAATGAGAAAGGGAATCAAACTGTGTGAACTGAACAGAATACAATGAGAAAAACCATCGAGAGAAAAAAAAACAATGTTCTGATTGTATTTTGGAAAATTACTATGATTTGGCCATTGTTGACGATGTTCAGGCTGATTGAGAGTGAGTGAGAAAAAAAAGAAAACTCGCGCGCGCGCGCGGCGTGGTCCCGTCACCATGTACGTTCATTCAATTTTGATTACAACTTGTACATTCAATCAAACTATAAATTATGAGCGAATACATTGGGGTTAGCTACACACGCTGTGACTGTATCGGAGTGCCGCACATGGTTTTGAAGAGACAGCGCGTGGCTCAAACATAGAAAATTACATATCTCAATATATGAATTTGTTTTTACTTCGTTTACATGTATTTTTTTTTTTGTGTTTTCTTTCACCACCACACTCGATTGAGCGATACGATGAAAGTGGACTAAATAAGCATGGGTCGAAACATTGATTTTAGCAAATGCGACGTCATCGGCACACGTTTATATGCAGAAAATTGCAACTCAAGGGTCACGCGTTAATATTAACGCTGTAATTAGTTTGATGAATAAAAGGGTTCTCTTTCGATAAGCCATAAATCATGTGATTCACAGAAGCTGAAACGATTCACTCCACTTCGATCACATATAATGATAAATAAGATGCCGATCAAGATTGTAATGTTCACCGTCATTATAAACTCCTTTAATGTGTATAATAATTTCGCGAAAACAGCATCATCACAATATTGAACTGTCGGTGAATAGATATCGATCTGAAATGTGTAAGAGGCATCCGATGTTCTGTTAACCACACAATTAAAAATTTGTTAAAAAAAATCCATATCTATTGAATTGGTCGCGTGTTTGACTGAAACCATGGTTTCCCTTGAATCAATCACCTTTGTGTTTGATTGAAAGCCAATTTTTGGCAATTGATTTATTCACCCCGTTAAACGAGCCACCGACATATTTAATTGAATACTTTGTATTGAGGACTTATTTGCACATCTCAACCAAAGCGATAAGATAGCCAGCTATAAAAAATGTCGTCTCTGTTTTTGACAGTTGTCACTTCACCCAATTCCTCTTTTCTGATATATTCGTGTGTGTGTGTGTTTTTTACATTCAGCTCAGAACGTTTCTTTTTTTTTCAATCAACTTTTTTTGAATTTTTTTTTTTTTGGATGGCATGGAAGTCCATTTTGAGATTCGGTGGTCATGCCCGAAAAAACAGCTTAAATTGACATGCAAAAATTTAGCATAAATATTTGCCCATATTATTCAACATCACATATACACACACCCATACTCGTTCTACGTACACTTTCTTTCTCTTTTTCCATTTTTCGGCGCATTTACGAACATGATGTTAATCGGTCTGGTATCATAAAAAAAACTAAAGTACACAAAAAGCATTCTATTTAAAGGTGCAGGTAAATCGAATCTTTTTATCGTTTTATTATTTAACGTAAAAACAATAACGACAATACCAGCAATTCAGTGCCAAACACTTCGAAATGTATTCTTATTGTTCATTTTGTAAGAATTGGTCAAAATAAGCGATAAACCATTCGAACGAACATTGCAACATACAACGACTAACATACATTCTTTTGAATTTGCGCAAAATATGAAAGATTCTTATAGATTTTTTTTTTACCTGAAAAATGGCTGCTTTCTCCGAACAGATGGAACATAAATCATTTTATGACCATTTCCAGCACTAACTTTAAGATTTGAGCGAATGAACTGATTGAAAAAAAGGATTTTGAGGCTTCTTGTTGATGGTTTTGTTGTTGTTGGGAAAAAGTAAATATGACATTGACACTAAATACGAAAACCAATGTAGATAAAACCATTACTATGAAAACTTCTACGTATTTCATTGACAAAAATACTATAATACTTTACTGTCAACTGCAATACGCTGAAAAATTTAAATGTTTTCGTAGTTTCAATAAACATTTTATTGCTACGGAGAAAACTGAAATCATTCATTTAACCCGTAAAATATATAATAATTTATGCCAAGGAAATCGAAATTGCATTAAATTATCTTTCTTACTTTCTTCTCTTTTTACAGATCCGGGCAGAACAACCATATTATTCGGCCGATAACGAAGTAGATTCACTAGTAAGTATTATCACACTTTGCAAAGCAACGAAAAAAAAATCAAATTACCATTGACAGACAAGCATGTTAAATGAAATGCTCAACCATCGCCATATCGAAAATATTATGAAATGGGAACGCAACGTATCTTATTTGTTTTGCACCCGCGCGAAAACAAAAAAAAATTAACAAATTAAAGTGGTAGAATGTGCATAGTCAACATATGTAATTAACACGCGTTTCACACACGACTTTTTATCGGCATTTGCATTCTCAACTCGTTTTGCATAAGGATTTTATTTCAATTTTAAGTCATTTTATTCGGTTAATTGTCATCTGTGTCCAAAACGGGCTTTAATTAATCTTTTGCATGTTCTTTTGCGATCAACTTTGTGAATAAATATGTGTTTGTGTGCATTGCAAACAGCGTTGCCATTCAATCCATATGGCAAAATGACATTAAAATAATTCGATGCACGTATTCATATGTGGTTTTAGGTGGTGCATAAATTCCGCTGATATTTTAGAATATGCATATGTACACCCAGAGAAACCGTTTGTGCAAAACAGACAGAAACGACCATTTTTGACTCAATAAAAATGTCGTTGGTTTAAGATTTGCTGAAAAGGTGTACCACAAAAAAAAATGTCCCAATTAAATGAATTTGCAAGAAAGATAAAATAAGATGAAAATTAAGCATATGCATTTGTTTCGTTTATTCTGTAACTAGCTCTGTAAGCATATATATTAAAAAACTACACAAAATGGAACAGAACATGGCGAAAGTAGACGATCAAAACATTATGTCATTACGTTTCTTTTCTTTCGTTCGGTTTTCGTACCTTCAGTACCTTGAGTTATATGAATTTTAAAGTACATTTGCAAACATTTTGATCAAATTTTGTTTTGGTGCAACTATTGTTCCATGTCACACGTTAATTGATAAACATATTTCTCAAATAATTTAGCCGAAAAATCTATTTAAATGAATTGGTTGCAATACATTGTATTTTCGTTATGTAAATTATTTTAACATTCCATCGAAGAGTTCGCTAGCAAAATCTTACTCACCACGTTTTATTCACAAAATTTCGTAGTATGAAATGCGCGCACGAGAAAGAGAGAGAGAAAGAAAATGAAGCCGAGAACTGGAATTTAAATTGAAATTTTTTAGTTGTGTGTCAGCGTTCACTCACCCAACAACGTAAAGAAATCTTCATCGAGTCTCCTGATTTTATTTTTGGGCTGTTTGCATATACACACATTCAATACATCCAACACATCCGTAGTACGGGCATTACGCGCGAGTTCGGCCGTTCTCTTTTCTCTTTGCGCTTCGTATAAAACCTCAGCATTTAGCATATGAGACAAATTAAAATGCAAATTATACGGTCAAAACGAGCACAAGCAAATCCGTAAAGAAGCCACTTCATACACGAATATTAAACGACGTTTGCCTTTCATCAATTTTCATTCGACATATTGCTGTTTTAGTTAATTTAATTGTTTCAGTGTTGAGCAAAATTCCTTGTCCATTGTCAACATCCAGATGCAAGTTTCACTTTACACTCAATCATTGTTTCAATGTTGCAAATGTATTTTGAACGTTGCGTGTGTGTGTTTCTATCTTAACAAAAATATTTAAAAAAAAAAAACAAATTATTATTTATACATGTATGCTAAAAAATTGCTTTATATTCTTTTGCAGATGGTACAAGCTATTCAAGTACTTCGGTTTCACCTCTTAGAATTAGAAAAGGTAAGTAAACAAAATTTCCATCAACATTTTAATTGTAATTTTCTGAATGCAATATTTCGTTTACTGCAACAAAAACAATTAAAACAGACTCAGAAATTTTGTGATTTTATTTTTCTTCTTCACGGGTCACAAAATTTGGAGTAGAATTCATCAAAGTTTAACATTCACAAATCGTCTATTCTATAGAATTTCTCACTTCAGTTGATTTTTATATATCGTTTGGTTGTGACACGATGTGCAACACAATAGCAACATTTAATTTTATTTTTCGTTCAAAAACCAAGCGAATAGCATAATCTGTGGCAATTCGATGAGCATTAATATCATCATCCGGTCATTTTGTTTTATGGTTAATTCAATAATTTCTTGGAACTTCCACCGTACCATTGTATTTCAGCAGAGAGAGAGAGAGAGCACAGTGGTGTGTGTACGTACACATAAAAGCATTCATTTGTACATTGGCCAATTATTATGTGAATGTATTCATAAAATTCAAACGCCATTGCAAACGTTGAGTTTGCCATGGCCCATGGTATTTTCCATTTTGCACCAATTTTTGAAGTTTTACTTTGTATGCCATAGCCTTCGATTATTGGCTCGATTAAGATGAAGAATAAAATTTTAGCGAGAGAAAAAAATAATAACCCATCGCCATAAAATCGATTCCGAAATTTTAAGATTCACAAGCATAGCCACACCATTGAAGCATAATTTTCCTCGAATCGTATGCTAAGAAAATATAGCATGTAAATGAAACAAAAGAATTGTTCACCGATCGAAACAGGTATTAGCATTCTCTCTCGCTTTCGCTCTCGCCTGCGCGCCCTCTTTCTCTTCACTTGAACTAAATTATTATGCATGCCTTCTAGCAGTTTGCTCCACAATATCAGCAAATGCTCATCGATTGATTATACATTTCGAAGCATTTTTATGCATTCAATTTTCGAATGCAGAAAACATGTCGATAGATAATGATACTTAATAGCTATTTGATAACGTGGAACCGGTCGTTGGGCATGAAATAACAAAATTCGGATGAGAGATCCACAGAAAATTGTACAATCAACCCATTATTGGTAATTCGCATGATAATTTTTGGTGTAATTTACTTTTTTGTTGTTGTTATGTTGCACGATGGCTGAGTTGTTATTTGATTCGATCGATGCCAGCAGCATTTTTTTCACTCGCGAATCACATGGTGGCAATTTGTGTTGCAATAAAATGCATCTGGTTCTTGATTCGTTTGATCGACTGTATGCTCGCTTTTCACATCGTCCAACCAAATGATAGTGAAGTATGAATACAACTTTGGCTGGCATGTCTGAAAGTCATTTTGTTTTATTTGCAAATCAAATTGAGCCTACACCAATTGAACAATGCGGTTCTTCGATATCAGTTGCCATAATGATTCATGATTAAAATGACATCCGGAAATCAACAGTATGACTGAATCGTATACATTTTTGTACTATTCTGGAAATTCTGAGTTGTATTCTCATCTACACCAACACAAACCGCCGAATAAAGGCGGTGAAAGAGTCTTCCCTTTTTTTCGTCTCTCTCAATGACTTCAAATGAACGAACATAAAAAGTCACGTCTGCATATGGTATCTACTATCTACCCACTTCGATACCACAACCTGTCTTCATTAGACCAAACGAATGAAATGGAATAAATGAGAGAACAAGTAGGAGAGAGAGAGGCATAAAGTAAATACGAACACACTGAACTTGAGGTTGGTTCAGCGTTCGTCGTTCATAACCTGACTTGATTCGGTTTCATTCTTAAATATGTTATATGCAAATGAGCATTTGTTTCGTTTTTCAAAGCGATCGAATGATGATGACAGTATACATATAAACCGAACAGTGTGTGTGCCTTTTTTCGCGGCGCAAAGTGGCATTGTGTTGCTGTGCCATAAAAGAGACTTCAAAGAAAACAATGTTAACCAAGCGTCGTAAATTGTATGGCACACCGACAAAAGGAAGTTGTGATAACGCAACAGTTAACATCATTTAACTATTCTAAACGTGCGCAATCATCCCTTTTATATTGCAAGTATAAGTGAAACGGATGCAAAACGCAGCTCTCTTTGTCTATATCGTTATTTTTTCTATTTTGAAATGGCGTTTTTTTTTTGTTTGTTTGTTTGTTTGCGCAGATAGATGTATTTGATTTGGATTGAAACCTCTCGCTCCTTGCACTATTTGTTAACAAATTATCGAATGACATTACCACAACTATATTATTCAACCGCAACTTTTCTGTTTTGCCACTTTGCCATTCCTCCTGCTTCGTCGTCATTACGTTGGTACCACGAATAATGAAAAAGCGATTTTGTGCTGGTTCCAGTTGTGTAACGTGCATGAAATGTCCAATTGGATCAACAAGAATTTCTGATGAAATGTAAAATAGCTCGACAAATTTGAGTGCGATTCAATTGTTTATGTGTAACAAAGGATTAATATGTTCGATACGAAGGTGAATAGCCTCGTAGTTGTTCAGCGATTATGACACGCGAACAAATCTTGAATTATGCATAATCAAGGAAAATGGATGAATCGGTGGTGAAGAAAACTTACTTAAAATAACCAATAAAAGGGTAAAGTTTGAATTTACACACTTTTAGACGTTGTTACAGTTTTGATTTGGCTCGCTTTTCATAATTTCATGTACAAAACACAGAGCCGAATATGTAAATGCTAAATGATAATGCATAATATCTACCGGAGCCGTCAATTATCTCATTAACAATACCGCATTGCAATTATTTCATTAAAACGATATAATTCTTGTGTGGAATAGAGTCATGCATTCAATTCAAAGTATGTACGTACACAAACGATTTTTGCCTCTTCTTTTTTTATACATATATACATATTGTTCATTGTGCTGTTGTTGTTCATCATGCGCGCGTCTTATATTCAACGATGTCTTGTTTTATGTTCGTCATTCGACTACGAGTCATATTATCTGAACACGCGAAACGTGATATTTGCAGTGTGCAATGCACGTCAAGATACATTGAATATGTTTGTGTACAAACCAACTGATGGCCGATAATTTATGACTATTATACACAAAATAAATATTGCGGGGCGCGCAAAAAGTAGACACGGTTGGAGCTGATTCGTTTTAGAGGGAGTCCACCTAAGCTATATAAAGATGGCTGCGCAGATGGTTCATCGGCTATGCCACAGACAGCGAATTGTTATTTCACAAGGTTTTTCCGTTTGTATAAAAGATTTCTTTGTCGGACGACGCCTTGTATTGTCTCCAATGTACTTTCCAATCGTCGTCAATACTCATATTTTTTTGCGCCTCAATTTTTTTCAAAGTACATTTTTAACGAGCGCCTTGCATTGGGAAGTAAGGCATTTAAAAGCAAGCAATTTAGAAATTCAATCATAACTGAATGCTGACAAACAACAGTCTACACAAACACACATACACGAAATTATCGGGGACGCAATGTATTTTATTCCCAAATTAATTCTAAACCTCAGCCCACAAGTAATTTGTTCATCCAATAGTTGAATATACTAAAACACACACATCGAAAATTATTATTATCGCTCGTAAAATAAATCCATAAATAGATTTATTAAAATAAACTAATATGCAATAAAAAAACATGCATTTGCTTCTCAATAAAAGGTGATTTTTACTCGACCAAAGTGAAAAACAGAAAGAGAGAGATAGAGAGAGAAAAAAAACGTACGAAACATTTTTATGCATGTTTTTATGTGTGCAATTTCAGCGAGCTGAACGAAGAAAATCGATAAAAGCCACCGTAATTTAGGTGAATGAGAAGATGAATTTAACAGCAGCCGCAACATATACGAAATCCTCAATGAAAATATTCTTTTGGTGTTTTCGTCATATAATTTTTTTTGTTTTTTTTTTTTTCTGCATCGTGTGTCTAAATAACATTGAAACACCCAAATACCGCTTCGTTTGATGAACGCGCCGAATATGGAGTATGCATTTGAATGTGGGCCTGAGACAACACTTTTTCGAATATTTGCGCTGTGCTTTGTTGCTCAGCTGTCAGTATGAATAAACAGAACAAAGATCAAATATCGCCTTCGTCACTCGAATCTTAAACCAACTTTTTATCCTGGAATTTTTCTGCGGAAATTCACAAAAAAAAAAACAATAATAATAACAATAATAAGGAAAAGAAAAACGCACATAACCGCAAAAGCAATTTAAAACAAAATTTACGATTTTTCAACAAGCCAAGCTCTCTTCTACGCTTCTGCCGATCATCTCAATCTTGGCGAAGTCGTAACAAAGTCCATTGCTAAAATAGTAGTGCCCATATTCGATTCCATATGAGCGAAATTTATTTAACTCACAACAAAATGTGATCGGCTTAAAAGAAAATAGTTTTTTGTTGTGGTGGATTTGGTAGGGTCGGCACTACTTTGGTTTTGGTTTCATTTTGGTTCGGCACTCAGCACACCAATTGTCATTTTATGTTTTCGCGTGCATTTTTTTTCTCTCTCTTTCTCTCTCTGTTTCTCTCTCATTTCGTCTTTGAGCGAAAGGTATGCATCCATGAAACATGCATTACACCATATACATTCGCCCATTGAATGTAAAAAGAGATAAGAAGGCGATCGCATCCATCGTCTTGATGCACTATAGCCTTCAAATATATGATTTTGAGTTTTTTTCTTCTCTCGTTTGGTTTGGTGTTTTTTTTTTGCTTCTGTCATCTTCCTTTTGTTCGAAAAATCATTTATCGAATTATATATTTGTGACGCAGAAGCGATTGGAGGCACGCACAAAATCACAAAATAAAAACAAAATGAATACAAATAATACTGTCGATGTTCACATTCAATGATGATATCATTCGACTTTTATTTCACTTATATGGCTGATGGTTATTGTGACGGCTGCTCTGCCGCTTTCAATTCAGTATTCAGTGTTCTGCATTCAATCGGCGCAGCATCTCAGCGTCCGTATGTTTTTGACTAAAAAAGAGATA